TTAATTCACTTTCCAATTATAGAACCCCCTTTCCAAAAAAAGTTGGAATGCAAATCATTTAAACCCTATATTTAATTGCACTTTGTACAAACACAGCAATCAAATGTTGAATGTGAAATTAGATTACAAAAATATATTTTTTTAAATATGTGCCCATTTTGAATCTGATGCCATCAACACATTTCAAAAAAGTTGGGATTGGGGCAACAAAAGACTGGTAAAGTTGTGTAATGCCAGTAACATGCCTGCATATAAAAATAGCATCGCAGTGTAGCTTTCAGAAGTAGAGATGGGGAGAAGTTCATCACTCTGTGAAAGACTGTGTGGCCAAATATCAGAAGATTTCATCCTATCATTAAAAGATTCAGAGAATCCAGAGAAATCTCTGTACGCAAGGGACAAGGCCAAAAATCAATATTGGCTGGCTGTGATCTTTCGGCCCTCAGGTGGCACTGCGTTAAAGACAGACATGATCCTGTAGTGGAAATTACTGCATGGACCAGAAACACTTCAGAAAACCACTGTCTGTAAACACATTCATTCATTGCATCCACAAATGCAAGTTAAAACTCTACAATGCAAAGAAGAAACCATATATAAACAGGATCAAGAAATGCTGCAGCCTTCTCTGGCCCCAAGCTCATATAAGATGGACTGAGGCGAAGTGGAAAAATGTCCTGTGGAACGATGAATAAAAATTTAAATTCTTTTTGGAAAAAGTGGACACTGCATCTTCCAGGCTAAAGACTCAGAACACTCAGCGTGTTATAAGTGTACAGTTCAAAAGCCAGCATACGTGATGGTATGGGGGTGTGTTAATGCGCATGGCATGGGTGGTGAAGGCACCATTAATGCTGAATGACTGCTTTGGCAACATATGCTGCCATACAGATGACGTCTTTTTCAGGGAAGACCTTGATTGTTTCAGCAAGACAACGTCAAACCACATTCTGCATGTATTACAACAGCATGGCTCCACAGTAAAAGAATCTGTGTGCTAAATTGGCCTGCCTGGAGTCCAGATCTGCCACCACTAAAACATCTGGCAAGTTATGAATTGAAAAATATGATAAAGGACACCCCCAAATTTTGAGCAGCTGAAATCCTATATCAAGCAATAATGGGAAAAGATTTCACTTTCAAAACTACAGCAATTGGTCTTCTCAGTTCTTAAACACTTACAGAGTGTTGTTAAAAGAACACAATGGTAAACTTGCCCCTATCCCAACTTTTTTGGAATGTGTTGCTGGCATCAAATTTAAGATTGGCATCTATTTAAAAAAATATATATATATATCATTGCATTCTGTTTTCATTTACATTTTGTTCAGTGCCTCAACTTTTTTGGAAATAGGTTTGTAGATCCTTCTCAAGTCTTTCTTACTTTGCGAAGGTGATGGAAAGAGCTTCAGAACTTCAGGATTTTTTTTAGCAGAAACAATCTATATGAGCCTTACCAGTCTGGCTTCTGCGACCTGCACAGCACTCTGAGTCTACCCTGTTAAGAGTTATTGATGGTTAGAGTTATTGACTTTTACTTTCTACTGATGCTGGTTTCCTTAATATCCTCAACCTCACTGCATGTTTTGACACTGTGAACTATGACATAGTTGTTGCCAGGCTTTCATTCTTAGGCACTTCAGGCTCAGCTTTTGATTGGTTCTGATCCTTGCCCCAGTTGCTTGGAGAGTGCCCCAAGGTTCTATCCTGGGACCCATCCTTTTTATAATATTCAACTCAACCCTATGTCAGATCATTTGAAATTATGACTTTACATTTCATGATATTCAGATTTACATTAGCACCACACCCCCACAGTCTCATTTCAGTCACTAAGTGCAACAGATTTAAAACAGTGGATGGATAATAATTTATTGAAGCTAAATGCAGACAAATCTGAAGTCTTGTCTCTTGGTCCTAAATCACTAATATGCTGGTAAATATCTTCATTCCCTCCCACATTAATTATTGTGACTCCCTTTTTAATGGTCTCCCTGTTAAATTGCTCAACCCAGCAGTCAGAATCTTTACTTTTTCCAAACGCTCTTCACACATCACCTCATCCTCCATCAGCTTCAATGATTACCGATATCCTCTCACATCAAGTACAAAATTCTCCTGCTAACATTCAGAGCTTCATGGTCTTGCTCCTACATACCTTAGTGAGCTCCTTCACCCTCACTGTCCTCTCGCTCCCTCAGCTCTTCTAGCACTGGACTTCTTGCAGTCCCACAATCAAGAGTCTCATCAGTTGGTGGCAAGTCTTTCAGTGCTACTGCTCCTAGACTTTTTCTTTAAAGCTCAACATAAATTGTTTTCCTTTTTACTGCATACTATTCTTTTTCCTCCAAGTCTCAGTATTTTTATTTTTTTTGCTTCTCAATCTAAAGCATCCTTGGGTTTGTGAAAGGCACTATATAAACTGAACTTTTTATTAATGTAAAAATATATGTTTTTTTAATCAAAACAATGGAGCATCTAATTGTTAGATTGTTACATTCATGTGTTGAACTACACAAACATTATTCTGTGATTTATTTTGCAGTCAAAGTGGAATCATGAGCTCTGAATGTGGGATGTTATTTCTTATCACCCTGCTGTGTATTTCAGGTAGGATTATTCTGCTTCTGATTCTGTGTTTCCTGACACTGTTCGTTATAGGTCCATGTGACAAAAACAGTGATATTAGAATTATAATAACAAGGAAATGTTATTATTATTATTATTATTATTATTATTTGTCTTAAGAAGCTTCCAAAATGTTTTGATTTGCTATAGATATCTGATGTTTTTAAATAAAAATCTTTATCAATATTCACCAAGTTTGGTTAATAAATGTCTTCTTTTGTGGACCCGTAAAATGACTACACAGTGACAACACAAGGTCATGTGTGCTAAACAAAACACTAAACAAAAAAGAAATCGTTACTCTCAAATTTTATTGTACACATATTGTAAACGTACACATTTGCAATGTTTTTATTTTTTGCGAATTATGAAGTAGCTCATGTGGATTTTTTATAACTCTGTCAAAGCTAAGCCCATCATCCCAAAAACAAAAGCCCACTGCTCCGAAAATATTCATTGCCTTGGAGAAGCTGAGGTCAGCTTCTTATTTGCCAGGACTTTGTTGAAATTTGTGTGTTCCACCTTAAATGGTGCAGCAGTTACATTTTGGCATCTCAGCCTATTTGCTAGATTCTTGTTCAAATTTGCCTGTTCCAACCTGAGCAAGAAGCTGGCAAATAGGAAGCTAACTTTAGCCTCGTCAAAGGATTTTACCTGTCCAGACATGTCAGTCTATAAGATTAATATATAGCATTATATGAGTTCTGTTGAAGTTTTAAGACATTTTTATTTCAGAATATTTTGATTAAAAGCATTTTGTTCTTCAATGATATATTCTCTGTTTAGATTCTCTGGGTGAGATGTGTCCTGCAGTCCTCAGACTATCTGTGCTCTGCGGTGGTCAGTGGTGAAGCTGACGTGTTCTTACAAAAAAAACACCAAAACTATCTTTTGGTTCAGCTTTAAACAGAAAGCTAAATGGAGGAATGAGAAACATCCAGAGGATTTAGCCTTAGACTCAGACTACACAGGATGAGTGAACTACACTAAGACCACAAACTCCAAATCAATTCTTACAATACAAAAGCTGAGAAAGAATGACTCAGGAGAATATCACCTCATGATCATCACAGAACAAGGAAAGAAATATGCCAGTTCTGCAGTTACATTAACAGTTGCAGGTAATAAAATGGTGAAATTATAATTCTAAAATCAGATTTATAATATTTTGATAATCTTGTAATGAACTGTATCTTCATTCAGATCTGCAGCTGAAGATGACCCAGAGTGGACAGAAAGTGACTCTCACCTGTAGCACTTCCTGTAGTCTAACCTATAAACCTGATTTCTACTTCTGGTACAAGAATACACAATATACAAACAGATACATACCTTACAATAAACCTCAGCTACAGGTAACTGTACACACTTCTGGTTGCATTTTCTCTGCTTCTCTGTTTTTGACGGTATGTTAGATGTACACCCCTGGTAATCATGAGCAAAATGAGCTCTAAAAATATTCTTAATTACTTATTCTTTTTGATCTTTTATCTAAAATATTAGAAAACATTTAATGTTTATTTAAAATATAATGACAAAAAAAACTAAATCTTGTCAGGAAATTTTCTTAAATCTGTCACACAATTGTTGACACTCCTAGAAATTCTTAGGAGTGAAATCTAATTGAAGTATATTCCCATAGATATTTTATGTTTTAAAGTTCACCTCCCGAAGTTCAACATTTAAATGGTCAGCCATGACTTCCTGTTTCACTGGGGAAGACATTTTAGAGATTAAACACAGGCCAAATTCATCCAATGTTATGAGAAAGACCAGAGAGTACATCAATGATATACGACAAAAGGTTGTTGAGCTGCACAAATCATGAAATGGCTATAAGAAAATAGCAAAACAGTTTAAAATGCCCTTTTCCACTATCAGGGCAATAGTTAAGCAGTTTAAGGCAACCAGATATGTTAAGAATCTGCCAGGAAGAGAAAGTATGTCTGTACTGACCCTACGCACATTGAGGAGGATGGTTCAAGTGACAAAAGAATCTCCAAAGATCACAGATGGGGAATTGTTAGGTCTTGTGGTCAGAACGCCTTCCAAACCACAATCAAACACCACATATATAGAAGAGCTCAAGCTCCTATGATCCAAAGCACACCTCAAAATCAACACAAATTTGAAAGTAATTTGAAAAGCAATTTGAAAGAAATGAAGATTTTTGTTAATGATTTGAATGAAAGATCAAAAGGATAAGCAATAATATTTTTTGCAGCCTGTTTTGCTCATGTTTACCAGGGGTATCAATATTTGAAGGCACTGTACGTATAATGTACACAAATGTATACACATGTACTGCATGTTCAGCTCTGCAGGTGAGAGTGATTTCCAGCAAAGAATCAGGTGGACAGACTGTAACACTGATGTGTAGCAGCACCTGCACTCTGCCTAAGAACCCAACTTACATCTGGTACAAAAGCAGACAATGTGTAACTAACAAACTCACCAGAGACAAAAAGCTGTACCTGAAGTGCAGTGAAGATGCAGGAAACTACTCCTGTGCTGTGAGAGGACATGAGGAGCTCCGCTCCCCTGAGCAAACACTCAGTGACTGTGAGTCCTATGAAGCTGACTAATCTCTAATGTTTTGTAGTAGTCAGTAAAGACAGTAAAGACAGAGAACAGATTAATTTTTTTAACATATAGAAATTACAAGAAAAAAGGGAAATACATTTTTAGTTAACTGCATCTGATCTATATTAATAAATAATATTATATTCCATATTTTATAACAAGTAACATAAAATAATATAGCCTACAAGTATTAACAATTACTGTTAAACTATAGTTTTAGTCCAACTTTTCATTGCAACTTTGGGAAGTAAATGATAGCAAGGTTATTCTCTGTTTCTTCTTCTCTAAAACCTTCAGAATCACCACTTTAAGTCAAATCGGTATAAACCAAACAACATACATCCATTTTTATTATGGCTTTATTTTAACTACAAGCTGTATTACAAATATCTCTTATATTCATATCCTTCCTGAAGCACTGGTGACATAAATCATAGTTATTTCCTCCACTGTCAGGGAGTGAAAGAGAATCATTTCATTCCTGCAGTAATTTAATGTGCGTCCCTTGTTTTATTTGTGAAGGTGCTTAAGATCCAGAGGAGAGCTCAGAGTTAAACCTGGTCACAGTGGGAGTGTCAGTCTTTCTGCCTCTAACACTCATCACAGCAGCTCTGTGGATGTGCTGTGTGATCTGGAGGAAGAGAGGAGCACAGAGAGACACAGATATTCAGGTACTGAGAGAGGATTTCACTCTTTCTCTATCTACATACTTCTATGAAGCTGCTACTGAATAAAGACTGAAGTTCTGTTCTTCTCATCTCTCTAAAAGACTCCAAATCCTGCAGACCACACATGCACAGCTCTGAATCCCACCACCATGACCTCAGATTATGACACTCTCACAGTAAGTCTAATGTGTGTGTGTGTGTGTGTGTGATTGTTATCCTGGTTAGTGTTTTTAGTTCTTGAAGCTTTTTAATGTTCCCAGCATCTTACAGACTCTCCCAGTGACACATACACAGCCTTAAACCCTGAAACCATGAGCTCTGATTACAACACTCTGACAGTAAGTCTAGTGGGTGTGTGTGTGCATGTGTGTGTGTGATTGTTCTTCTGGTTACTGTATATAGTTACAGAAGCTTTTCTAATGGTCTTTTATTTTCCAGCATCGTACAGTCTCTCCCAGTGACACATACACAGCCTTAAACCCCGCAACCATGTGCTCTGATTATGACAGTCTGACAGTAAGTCTGCAGCACCTACACTGAGCGTGTGTTATGTTTATGTGTATGTTGTGTCTGAATTTTTTCTCTGTTGTTTGTTTTTCAGGTTGTGAAAGCTTCACACAGTGAGCAGCATGAAGCTCTGCAGAGAGAAACTCCATCAGCAGATTATGAAAACTTTCAGGGACCTTCAACATAGAAACCCACTCAATTACACTCATATTAGCCCCTACTATATTCCAGCAAACTGAAATCAGTCTTTGCGGCCGATCTCACGATCCCTCTTCCCATCACTCTTGAACAAGACCCCAAGATACTTGAACTCCTCCACCTGGTGGCAGGTCCTTTTCCCTTACCTGAAGTGGGCATGCCATCCTTTTCCAGGCTAGGACCATGGACTTGGAGGTGCTGATCTGCATACCAACCGCTTCACACTCCGCTGCAAACCACTGCAGCGAGCTCTGGAGACATCCATGTGATCCAGCCAAAAGGACAACATCATCTGCAAATGACACCCTGACACCCTGTCCATGAATATCACGAACAGGAGTGGAGACAAGGCACAACCTTGGTGGAGTCCAACGCTAACACTGAACAAGTAACAATATAACGGTATTATATATATTATATATTATATTTTTAATATAATAGAGATGAAGTTCTACCACTCAGGGCAAGGCTGAATCTCAAATGCCTTTCTACTCCATATAGTGCACTACATAATTTATAAAACTCTGGATTTTACTCCCAAAGACTGACCTATGCTTGAATATAAATTGGCTTGAATTAGAAATATAACGCAGTACCAATGCTCTTCATACATATTCATTTCATGACTTACATAGTGCACTACATACGCAGTAGGGAGCTACTGAAGATTCAGCCCTATGCAAATGTTAAGAGACTCTTCCAAAGCATCCATTGTTTGATGATTCAGAATGTGGCTAACATGGATCTATCTGCTAGTAGACTAAATGGTGTGAGTAGCAGTGGTACAAAACCATTGTGAGACGACATCTACCCGGAAAATCAGAAAAAAGTATCCAGACAGGACTAAAATGATTAGACCGCTGTGTTCAGTGAAAAACAGTAGATCAGAGGAAGAGGAAATTTAAGAGGGAATTACTCTAGAACGCTATGTACATTTGACCCATCTGAATCAGGCTAAAGATCAGATTTCATATACAACTCCGAGTGAATCAGTTCAAATCACACATAAACACATTGTCATATAAGAGCAGACAGAGTTCCAAAACATGTGGAAAACAGAGAAGCCCCCCAAAATGAACTAAAGCCCTTTACTGCAGTAAAATAACTAAATCACATGCAGTGATGTTCTGAGTAGAAGCTGTTTTTTATGAGCTTTTATAATGTCCTCATTGTGTAACCTCTGTATATACAGAGAGTAGTGCAACTACACATGAAAATAATTTTAAAAATATTACTGAACTTAATTACTTTATATTTGATCTTTTTTAAAGGTTTTTGTGAACATTGGGCACACAGGATTAAAATAAAAACAATCTCAGCACTAAAACCAGCTCAGCCAACTAAAAACAATCACTAATTTGAATTGAATTTAGACAACAACAGAAACCAAAACAGTCAAATTGAATAAAGTTTACAGAAAAGACAGCAAAACAATGGTGAATATATTGAGCTGAAGTTGACGTTTTTTCGCCAGCTTCTTATTAGAATTTTCCGCTCCACTTTAAATGGTGCAGTTACGTTTAAGGTGGGACAGCAAATTCCAATATGAAGGTGGAGAATAAAAAGTCAACTTCAGCCTCGTGGTGAATGTTTCACTTGTCTTACCTGCAGAAGCGGTTAAAATCATTCAAATAGAGAGAACTGTGTTTCTTTTGTTTTACTGCCATGAGGAAAATGGTCAGTTCGCCTGGTAAGTTTTTCAAGTAAGGCTGGAGTTTAAGCACTGAGCTGCACTTTTTGGTAATGTCTAATGCTTCACTTGTCTTCTGAAATAAAATAAACCGAGCCTAAGCACAGTAATAGATATTTGAAGACATTGCTGTACATACGGCAGGAAACGAATCCATTCAGCTGAAAAATAATCGACTGTGTAGAGTCTCATCTGCAGTCAGACGCCTCTTTCTTCCAATTTGAGTCTGAAGCAGCTTAGTGTTTTTATAATGATAGTTTATTAATTCTCATTATGTTATATTTAGAATAATTTTAAACATTTTTTAAATCTATAGATTTACATGATTTTTGCTTTGTTCTCTGATCTTGAAGAGAATTTTATAAATAAAAGTTTGTCTCGGCTGTGAATTTGTTCTTAAGCTTCAGTTTATTCAGTTTTGAGTTTTTGCACTTTTATCATCTCCTTATGGCAGTGAGGTGAAAAGGACCTTTACACAGTTTTACGCCCCCCCACAACCCCCCCTTATTGACATCATTGATGAATGAGGACAGAAGCATATATTTACACACACTATATATAGATAGAGATAGAGTAGTGAAAACACTGGAGAGCATTACTTCAACTGTTACACTCGATGCATCAGTAATACACAACCCTACACACACAAAGTACACACAACGCATGGTCTAATGGAGCTGAAGTTAGCTTCTTCTTATTCGTGTAGCTGCTGCTCCATTTAAGGTGGAACATAAAATTGAATCAGAAGCCTTGTCACAGTCTATGAGTCTTACATGCACTCTCTCACAAATACACTCTGTCTTTCACAGACAGCGCACCCAGCTATTAAAAGCATAAGTCATTAGGCCGGATGAGTATTTGCAAAATAACAAACTCTTCTATACTGACAGAGCGGCTAACCTTTTCTAGCAGCTAGCTAGCCTCTTCTGTTTGCTCACATTTGTCAGTGAAGCCTAGTTAACTAAAAAGTTAACTGTGATATTGTGGCAAAGACTGTATGTTAATCAGTCAGTAATAGCAAGTGAAATCAGAATAACAGTTATCATTGTGCTACCTGCATGACTGAATCATAACACCCTTCTCAAACTGTGTTGAATTGTGTCAAAATAGGTTTCCTTTTGTAGTTTCTGACACTGTATAACAAAAGAAAAAAATAAAAAGATAAAAAGTGAGGGAGAAATTTAATATAATATAGACTTTTTAAACAATAAATTATTTTTTATCATAATTAATGAATTATTTCAATTATAATTAATCATATAATATTAATGCTGTACTGTATGTCTTTTTGTCATATTATATTAGTACTGTGTGTCTCTCTCTGTGTGCCAGTGTGTGACCATGAAAATGTTGCAGGTGATGTGTGTCAAGTAAAATTTTCCCAGGGGAGGCACACGCTTGGGATGACACCTGCTTATCCGTTATCAGTATTAATGACACCTGCTTGTTCTTTATCAGTATTAATGACACCTGCTTATCCTTTATCAGTATTAATGACACCTGCTTGTTCTTTATCAGTATTAATGACACCTGCTTATCCTGTATCAGTATTAATGACACCTGCTTATTCTTTATCAGTATTAATGACATCTGCTTATCCTTTATCAGTATTAATGATACCTGCTTGTTCTTTATCAGTATTAATGACACCTGCTTGTTCTTTATCAGTATTAATGACACCTGCTTATCCTGTATCAGTATTAATGACTCCTGCTTATCCTGTATCAGTATTAATGATACCTGCTTATCCTTTTTTCAGTATTAATGCCAGAATGAACTTGCTGCAGCATTTAAGGTGGAAAATTCAAACAAGAAGCTGATTCAGCTTTGAGTGAAAAGATCATCATAACACAGTTTTATATCCCTCAATTCCTCAAACTGTAGATGGAAATTAAGAGGCAGCCCCTCTGTCAAAGGTGAGTTAAAAGAGAATTTTTTTTACCAGTGAAAACAAACAAAAATTAAAATGATTGTTCTTTATTTCTTTGAGTTCTTGTAAATATGAACTTAATAAAATGTATGTATTACTAAACACAGGAAGAGAGAGAGAGAAAGAAGCTGAAGGAGACTGACAGGACTGAGGGTACAGATCTGATAGAGGTTAGTAATCCAGAAGAAATTGAGGGAGAGATGTTTAAGCTTTGGGTAAAAATTAACACTGACAAAATATATTTGTCACCATGAATGTAAAATTTTGTAACCTAGCTTATTAAACATGTCAACAGAGCAAAATCACACTCTTTCTGATTGTACCAACTGAGACTGAACTGATAATCTGGTTGTTTAAATAATATATTTAGGTCCTTGCAGTTTATCAGAAAGAAAGGAGAGAGCACTGCTGGACTTCAGTACCTTTGCTTGATCTGTGCCTGTTGTAAGTGGATGGATATGGTGTTTGTTATACTGGCTCTGTGCTTAATACTATGACTATAACTATGAAGAGATAGATTTACTGTGCCAATTTGACCAAATAATATTTTTTTTTTATATACTTAACACGGCTGATGTACTTGATGTTTTCTGGTGTTGCTACTCTAAAAGTGCAATAAAGAGCATTGAAAAATTCTCTTTGGGGCCGTGCCCCCAGACCCTGCTGGTACAGGCTTAACCCCCGATCTGTGAACCTCCAGTGATGCCTCTGCAGATATTTATTCCCTACATATTTGTCTTATTTTGGTAAATAGTTAAGTAATTTATTTTACAATGATTTTAATAGTCCAATGAATATGTTAAACTCTCTCGCCATTTGACCTCAAGCTATATGAGTGTTTGTGTGTGTTTAACGTGAGGATGTTGAAACATTGAGGCTGATCATATCTTCCTGTAAGTGTGTGACACTCCGTTCTGCAGTAAACTGTTCTAACAGACCCTCAGTGGAAGTTCTCTGTAGTTTTTTCAGTAAATGGCTTATTTTGATGCTTAGCTAGCTGCTAGCTAATGTTTCCAGACTCAGTCATTATTTGTCGTTTTTCTTTTGTTGATGTTGTATAACCTGACTTTTCTCCAGGATCCAGAGCTCCTGCATCTTCAGCTCTGAAAGTCCAGTCCACTGAGCTCATGGTGAGTGTTGTGTTGTTTATGTTGGGGGTGTATGGTTTTGCAGAAAGTGGGATAGGATTACATAACGGATGCGTATTGTTTGCGTGGTTTATGTGTAGATATGGTCGTGTGGTTGGTGATGTACAAAGAACCTGTTGATGTGATTGTTTTTCCTCTGGTTTTATATTAAGCTTATTTTATTTAATTGTCTATTCAGGAGATTGTAACTTTATGTAGTAGTTATTTATTTACAGTGATGGTTAATGCTTTGTAGCTGGGTAAGTTATAGCATTCTTTAATCTGTGTAGATATTCATACTAGATTAACGTTAGCATCTTCTTACACAAACCTGGAGTTAGCTTCTTATTTGCCAGCTTCTTGTTCGAGTTTTCCTGTTCCACCTTTAATGATGCAGC